CTACTGAACTTGTATTTCTTTTGCACCATCATTAAGCTGAAAATTACAAGTTGAACCATCGTAAGTTGGGGACCATCTGTACTGAAAAACTTACAACAAATCATATCTTTATTGACTTACATTATAATTTCAGAAATGTTTTATATCAACTTCAGATTAATTTTCAGTTAATGACAAAAGAGAACACTTTAAGTTTCTCTGGTCTGTACTTAGGGTCTCTTAAGTAAACTAGCACTTAAATACTCATTTTTCCCCAAGGGATCTTTCTATAATTAAAATATTCTTTTTTATATTATAAACACTTTTGCTATTATTAACAGCTAACACTGATAGCTAAATTTTTATGTGTCTAGTTGCTAAACCTCTCTACATAAATAATCTCAAACCCTCACAGCAAGCCTATGAGGAAAATCATATTGTTATAATTCTTATTTTACAGATGAGGAAACTGAGCTTAAAGAAGTTAGGAAACTTGCCCATTGTCACCAAGCTGGTACTTAATGGGCCAGGGTATGAACCCAGAGAGTTTCTTAGCTACCACATGACATGGTCCTTATTTTTTAAAATTTGTGAGCTTACATAGTTTTGCTTTTTAAGTGGCAATAAATCTCCAGAATTTTTCCAAAATCAATGGAAAAAATAAAAAAGCACAAATGCCTTAGAGGTAGCAACATCAAAGAATTGTTGAATGAATGAATTTTAGCTCCTTGAGGGCAGGGAGCTTTCATTTCTTTTGTTCACTGTTGCATTCCCTGTGCTTCCCACAGAACCTGGCACATAGTAGATGTTCACTATATGTTTGTTGAATGAATGAATGACACCTGATCTTGATGGCATCATGGGGTCAATTCTCAATGGCAACAGAATGCCTCTCTGAAATTTATTAACTCTGCTAGAGCAGATTATAAATTTAATTTTTGTTTATCTCTAAAACCACAAATGTTTTTGCACATTGTAGTTTATAGACTGAAAAGGGTCCCCTGAACATACACCTGACTCAGGAATTGACAAATCCTAGAGAGCATCAGCTCATAGTGAAAGCGTTTGAACAATTACATGCAACTTTAAATCCCTCCTTCTTGGCTTGGATAGATGTTTTCATTACTCTTGGATTTATACCTGCTGTGGAATTGCTGAGCCATATATTTAACTCTGTATTTAAACTTTTAAGGAACTGCCAGAATGTTTTCTAAAGCAGCTGCATGATTTTATATTCCTACCAGCAGTGTATGAAGATTGCAATTTCTTCACAGCCTCAGAAACACTTGTTATCATCTATCTTTTTTAATATGGCCATCCTAGTGGGTGTGAGGTAGTATTCACTCACACCCTGATTTGCATTTCCCTTATGGCTAATGATGAACATCTTTTCATGGGCTTATTGGCCATGTGTATATTTCTTTGGGGAAATGTCTATTCAAATCCTTTGCCCATTCTAAAATTAGGTGGTTGCATGTTTGTTTGTTTGTTTTTAGTTGTAAGAGTTCTTTATATATTCTAGATACTAATCCCATATCAGATATGATTTGCAAATATGTTCTCCCATTCTGTGAGTTGTCTTTTCCCTTCTTGATAGTGTCCTATGAAGCAGAAAAGTTTCTAATTTTGGTGAAGTCTGACTTTTTTCTTTATTTCTTTTGTTGCTTCCATTTTGGTGTTATTTCTAAGAAATCTAATTGCCTAATCCAAGGTCATGAAGATTTATGCCTATGTTTTCCTCTGAGGTTAATAATTTTTTGCTCTTACATTTAGATCTTTATCTATTTTGAGTTAATTTTTGTATGTGTTGTGAGATTGAGACCCAACTTCTTTCTTTTGTATGTAGGTATCCAGTTGTCCTAGTCTCATTTGCTGGGAAGACTTTTCTTTATCCCATTGAATTGTCTTGGCACCTTTGTTGAAAATCAATTGAACATAAATATAAGGGCTTATTGCTGGTAGAGAAATATGCTTATATTATATCTTTGACTACATCCTCTCATTTGCTGACTTCACTACCACAGGAACCCTAATTATTCTTATGCTAGGTCATTTTGTCTTCTCTAATAGCTTTCATCTCCCTCTTTTATTCACTCTTTTGCCTTTTTTTCATGTCAGTGATTAAATTTTCAACTGTCTATTTTGTACATGGCCCTTTCTAATTAATTTCTTTATAATGAGGGTCCTCAATTTATTTCCTTAGATCTGCAACTCCTTTTGCAATTTTATTATCTTGTTTTTTTGTCTTACTGAATTCATGTTTTTATTAAGTTGTTCTGCAGCATAAAGCATTTGTGAGGAATTTTCTCCTGTTCCATGAACTTTGTTTTCTTCTCAATTGCGTTCTTTGTCTTTGTTTCTACATGCTGTATTATTTCCCCCTTTGTTCAGTTTCGCTTTGTTTGGCTGTAGTAGGTTTGCACAGTTGCCTGGCTGGCTTGGCAGTTTCTCTGCCTTCTATCCATGCTTGACTTCTTTGTGTTTCCCATTACATATAGCAGAAGCCCATTTGTTTTCCTGACTCTGCTACAGTTTGTGGCTTGAGGAGTTTGTGTTATATCCCTTCTTCTTGAGAGATTATGCAAGTTGGGACAGTGTTCAGCTGTGGAAGAGTGGACTCTCCATTAACATCCCTCTTATTGGCATCTGCTCGTTATTCTGAGATGGCACTAAATAGCCTCTACCAAAGACATGTGTCTACATGGGGCATGTCTGTTCTTCCCTTGTGAGGTAACTTTGGTCTTTGGATAGTTTCCTTAACTCAGCGTGGAGCCCTGGAGCCTTTCCTTCCATGTCAGTGTTCATATTCTCTCCAAAATCTGTTACGTTCCTCCTCAGTCAGAAGAGGAGAAAGGTAAGGGCTTCCATTCAGTTTTCTTCTCCCTATATTTGGGGGATTTAGTGAGACATTTCAGGATTCCATTGACTCCGTAGTCCTGCTTCCGGAAGTTAGGAGTGGGATAAGGATACTTTCCTTGGGTACCTTTCCACCTTGATCCAGAATCACCTCCGAAGTTTGAATTCCAAACTTTTATGGTAAAAGTTTCATTAGGAATGGTCTTTGGGGAATATGATATTAATGTATACAAATGTTTCTAAAAGAAGGCAAAAGATTACCACTAAAAAACCACAATAACAACAACAAAAAAAAAAACAAAAAAACCCCCACTGGGGCCGGCAGAATCATTCAGTTGGTTAAGAGCGAGAGCTCTGAGCAACAAGGTTGCTGGTTTGATTCCCACATGGGCCAGTGAGCTGCACCTGAGCTGAGCTGCCACTGAGCTGCCAACAGCTGGTGAGAGCACAGTGCTCCTAACAACAACATTTCTGGCTGGACTCCCTCATGGGATGGTGGTCTACGCCCACTTGCAACTAAGATTCAGCTGAGTACCTTGAGCTGAGCTGCCCTGAGCTACCCTGAGCTGCCCATGGGCTGCCCATGGGCGGCCGGATTGCTACTGGACTTGGAGCTGAGCTAGGTGCGCCCTCCACAACTAAGATTGAAGGACAACAACTTGGCTGTTCCCCTTCCCCAATTCCCCAACACTGTTCCCCTTCCCCAATAAAACCTTAAAAAAACAAACAACTTATTGAAAGCATCTCCATCCCTCTGTTTTTAAAGTACCTCACTTGGTATCTTTGTTTTTCATTTGTTAAACATGAGGCCATCCTTTAATGTTGTCTCCAACTATGCTTGAAACAGTGGACAGTGGGCAGTGCAGTTAAAGGGGAAAAAAAACTGCAGGACTTTGCCAATGACAATAAATATTAGGAGAGTGACAAAGAGGCTTTCTAGAGGATGTCCATATTTCTTGATTTTATGTAATTTGATATTTAATTATATTTTTAAAAATGTGATATTTAATATAGAAATTAAATAACTGTTTTTTTAAAAAACCTATTTACATGAATACTTCTCCTGTTTTAGACTGAAGGTGCCTAGGAGGCCAATTTCCACATTTCTTTCCTTAATGTTTAGAACAGGGCTATGCCAGGAACAGACATCCAATAAATACGAGTTACTAATTATAATGACTGGCCTACTTTATTAATATAGAATAATTCCAGGGGCTTCCCTCCTGGGTTGTCTGGTCCTAAGCCTTTTAATACTTGTGTATATGTCAGAAAATCAGCATTAGGAACTCTCTGGAGCAAATGATAACTTGATACATGTTTTAAAACTCACCTTTGGCATTATGAAATAATCCCTCAAGTGAGGAAAGAGTCAATTTTTTAATCTTAAAAGTCAAAGCAAATGTCACTGGTTAAGAGTCCAGTTGATCAATAACGTTTCACAATTTGTATCAACATCAGGAGAAAGGAGTTTAGCTTTGCTGGCAAATCAGTTCCTCCAGGGCCAAAGTTCTGGCTACCACAAATGCCATCTTCCTAGATACAGGGGCTCACACATAAGGGCCACTTGGTGGAAGACTCCCCCTGACAGCTGCCAGAGGGTTCTCCTAGGCGGCAGGCGCGCTGCCCATATTTTAAGGTAACGAACGCAAGAGTTTCAAGTCATACTAGTCTCTTGCCCTAAAAGTATAAGAATTGGTTTTTCTTACCCACAGCTTAACCCAGTCTCTTCCCCCTGCGAGGCCACCTGTTTGCTGAATTTTCACAGGGCAAAGGGACCAGAGCACCTCCGATGCAGCGTCCTCTTTACCTAAGAGGAGAGGGTGCACCAGGAGCCCAGACCGTGCCTCCCCACGCCGAGGTTCCAGCTCCAGACACCTGCCACCGTTCGGATTCCGTTCATCCCGCAACAACCGAGGAGTCCGACCCGCTCCTCCGGGCTGGCGCCTGTGACCCGCTCGCCGCCTTTTCCGAGGGCGCCCGGAGGAGCCCAGCCGCGCGCCCCTCCCGCGGCACCGCCCCTCCCGGGAGCCCCGCCGAGGGCTGGGGGTGGGGGCGGGGGCGGGGCGAGCGCCGTGACGCGAGGCGGCACCCGCCAATGAGAACGTCCCGCGGCGCCGGCCGAGCAGCTCGCCCATAAAACAGAGCCCGCGGGCTGTCCCTGTCAGTGTCAGGGGCCGATCGCCTACCTTCCTTTCTTAGGTGACTCCGGCCACAGCCCGTTGCCCGCGGCCGCCGGCGAAGTTCAGTCGCAGCCCCCGAAGCGTCCCAGGGTCCCTCCCGAGCGGCAGCGGCGGGTCCATGGAGAAAGGCCCGGTGCGAGCGCCGGCGAAGCCGCAGGACCGCAGGTGCAGCAATGGGTGCCTTGAGGGAGAGCCGCCGCGGCCAGGGCCGAGCCGACCCGCCGAGAAGCCGCCGCGGCCGGAGACCAAGCGAGCCCAGGCGGCGGACGGCTGGAAGGGCGAGCGGCCCCGCAGCGAGGAGGACAACGAGCTGAACCTCCCCAACCTGGCGGCCGCCTACTCGTCCATCCTGCGCTCGCTGGGCGAGAACCCCCATCGGCAGGGACTGCTCAAGACGCCCTGGAGGGCGGCCACGGCCATGCAGTTCTTCACCAAGGGCTACCAGGAGACCATCTCAGGTCAGTGCGCCCGCCGGCCGCGTGGGCGCGTGCGGGGCGCCGGGGAGGTGGCTGCGGAAAGCGCGCGCGGACTCCGGGAACTTTCCGGAGTTGCTTCACTCTTGGCACAGGGGAGCCCAGTGCCATCCCCTTCCGAACCCCGCCCTCTGCCAGACCCGGCGGGCCAGCCAAGGCTCGGGCCCTGCGTGGGAAGCATTTCCGGCGCCCTGAGAGGCGGCGGCTTCTCCACCTGGGGACCCGCTGCAGCCGCCCTCTCAGGGTCCTCCCTGCTCGCTGCATGCGCTCAGCCCTTCCAGCCTCGGGGTGGCGAGATCACTGCCACTGAGCTGCCCAGGGCAGGATGCTTGAAGCATGTGCTGGACCCACGATAAGGATCACCTGGGCGCTTGTGGAAGTGACAGCTTTCTAGGTCATCCCTTTTCTTGCGGTCTCATTTTTCATAGGTCTGTGGTGAAGCATTGGCTTCGTGTGCTTGGAGCGCTCGGGTGATCCTTCACCGCAGACTTGGGGACCTGTACACTCTCTGACTTGTCAGGGCGCCCGGGTCTCAGAAAGTTGTGATTCTCTTTTACCCACATCAAGTTCACTCTAGCTCAGGACTTGGCCAGAATTTGGTACAGTGCTGGGCACAGGGTTCCCCAGAATTTGAGGTGTGAGGTTTCTTGGGCTAATGTACTGCTGAAGGATTCTCTCTCTTCTCTCCCCGACTCCAAAAACCCTAAAGTAATAAAATGCCTCTCGGGTGGTCACGGATGTTCGCTGGACTCTGGGACCTGGAGTCCAATCCCTCTACCACCCGCTGCCCCTACTCTCCCCCGTACCCACCCCCCCCCCACACACACACACTCCAAATAAGCTGGTTTGGCCCAGTGCTATCACCCAGGGTCTGGCTTTCACCCAGGACTCAGGGAGGCAGGGTGGGTGGGTGGAGGGGAGTGGAAAATGAGGACTTTGATGCCTCCTAGCTGGGTGAGCAGTGTTGGCCTTCAGTGTAAAACAAAACAAAACAAAGAAAAGCCTCTGGCTTCTGCATCTGGGACCAAGGATGTTCTGCAGTTCACACCTTCTGTGCCTCGTGGTGACATTAATTACTTTGGCCTAAGATGCCTTCTGCCTTAATTTCTCAAAGAATAACAGTGCTGCTTTGCAAGGTAATCTCCCCGCCTCGGTTATTTCCCTGGTCTAGTATTTGGCGATTCCCGAATAGATCCTGGGAAGAACAAAGTTATTTTTGCCTAGTCTTCCACACCCCAAAGGAAGGGTGGGAAATCAGAGTGTGAGAGGGGTGGGGCCCAAAAAGGAAATGATACTACATCCTAAAGCCAAGAATTGTATCCATGTTCATTGTTTTAAGCCTTGATGATAAAAGTTTAGAGCTTCAAAAACAGAATTTCAAAATGCAAAGACTGAACATTCATTTGGTAAACATTCAGTCATTTGGTGATATTCCACGAGGTAATGAAGACACATCTTCATAGATGAAGCTTGCTCATTCTGCCTCTTGTGGACACTGAAAGTGGTCTCCTTGCCACACTTGTCAGGCTTTGGGAATCTTGCCCTAACAATTCACACAAGAGATGGATTTCTGACCCCTAACACAGGTCACAGAATTACCTTAAGTGGCTCACAAAGTTTACCTAGAAATGGTTAGCAGAAGTTTGTCTTATGAGCCATAGGACTAATGACTCCAAAGAACACTTCATTCTACCTTAGAAAACTGCTCTAGTCAAATGTTACTTTATTATTTAAAAAGTCTGTGGACCTAGAGACAGAAAGCAGATTAGGGGTTGCCAGGGCCTGGGGAGGGAGTTGGAACTGGGTTTCCTTTTGGGGTGATGAAAATTTTGGGGGACTAGAGAGTGATGATTGTTGCACAACATTGTGAAAGTACTAAATACCACTGAATTGTATACTTTAAAATGGTTAAAATGATGAATTTTATGTATATTTACCACAATAAAAAAGTCCATGGGCCATTTAATAATTATTAACAGTCATTTACTGAATACTTTTTATGCTCTTAAGTGCTTTATGCTCTTGGTTAATGCTTAATTTTGAGGTAATACTGTTCTTTTATCCCCATAACAAAGAAACGAGGCAGAGAGGTTGACAGCTTCCTGGTAGAGCTGTGTGAATCAAGCCAGCCTGAAAGCCACTTCCTTATGTTGCTACTTAGAAAGATGTACTAGGTGTGATCAACAAATACAGTGAATGTTAAATAAAAAAATTTACTACAGTGAAAGACATGTTCCTATTAATCCCCCTCAAAATACTCCCCCTTGCTTCAAACACACTTATCTCATCATTCTTGCCACTTTCTGAAACAATCCTGGAAGTCCCCTTTGGTGAGTGTCTTTAGTTGCCCTGTCATGACTGCCTCGATGTCCTGAATCATTTTGGCTTTGGGGAAGAGCCAGAAGCCACACAGTGCCAGATCTCATGAATCAGGTATATGAAGACACACCATAATGTTTTTATTTAATAGAAATTGCCATACCAGAAGCGATGTGTGATATGGAGCCTTTCCATTGTGATCACAAAATACATTGCTGCTGCCGAGTGCCATCCAACGGAAAGGCAGGGATCTTCAATACGTGAAGCAGTGTGTCAAACCTTAGTAACAGTGTGTGACAAGTTTCAACTTGTTCGGTGCAGTCAGTCGGGTGTGCGCTATGATTAAGTGTGCTGTAAAGCATCCTCCATCATGAAAACGCTCAGTGTCACACATCATTATATTAAGGAGGATTAATGGCAATGTATCTTTTACTGTAATAAATTTTTTAAAAATTTAAACATTCACCATATTGTTTGATCACACCTCAGTATCAGTATATCTCATCTAAGTCTTTTCAGGCTGTGAGTTGTGACCTAATAGTTGGGTCACCAGCATAAAAAAAGGTGGAATAGAATGGAGAAGATCAGTCTATCACATATAATGAGGATAAAAGTTTTGAGGAATGTCTGTGTAGGTTTTATAGGTATGACTTTTTCTGGTGTGTACTGGCTCCAGATGTAGAATGTATTTCTTACTGTGGGTTGAGGTGAAAAGTTTGAAAGTCTCTATCTAGAGGATCACACTTAAGGAGTTAATATCAATTCTTAGCGGTACATAGTTAAGAGAAGACAGAGAGGAGAGGATGACGAGGATGATGCTGAACTTAAAGGAATAAACCTGAAATGGTGGTCGTTCAGGCCTTGCACCAACCTGGGTAGGAGAGAGAAGGAAGGATACTTTAAATCTGTAGAAAATATAGAAGACTAATAGAGAAAACAATCTTGCCCAATCCCTAATTTTTATTTCTTTAGAAGAGTGCATATGTCAATGACTATATAGATCGTTTTGAATAGAAACAAACTTCTTTGAAACTATCACTTTTCTATGACTGTAAACAAGCTACTTTACATCTTTGTATATTAATTCTTGGTTAAATAGTGTTGACATAAGTGTTGTAAAATATAAAATAAATTGGTATTTTACACTCCCTAAATTATTATTAATTTTTTCAGTTCTTCCTGAGTAGATTGAAAACTAACTTTTGGTGTTCTGGGGAATTTGTTGGTTCTCCCTTACCTGTAGCTTCTCTTCAAAGGTGCCTCGCGTACTTTCTCTTACTTTCCACTGTGTACCTTATCATGGGTATATACAACTTTCCTGGTTACTGTTCACCACTGGGCTGTAGCTTGAGGGCTGGGAGGGAGGGCTGGAAGGGACACTATCACCTGTCCCAGGAACTGGCTATTCTGTGAATCTAACATCACAGGGATACCCTTGGACCAGCTCATCTTAATCTATTGCTGTTCCATTTCAGTTTAACGAGCCTGTCACCTACTGGTTTGAGTAGCCATTGGTGGTTGCCTAGATCCAGTATCTATTAGAAGCTGCAAAATAATGATATTTGGTTCTTTAATTTCTTCTGAATTTGTTAACTGGAGTTCTTTTATAAAGAAAGTATATGGGCACTCTAGGTTTTCTTTGCAACTATTTGTTAAGTTTAAAAGTATAAAATAAAGCTTAAATATATAAGGTTATTAATTTCTTTAATACATTTCTTTAATTCTGCAGTTCAGATCTACCTAATTATGACTCAATCTAGAAGCCATAAAAAATAAGTTTATATATATATATGTATATATATAAAACTTTTACTATATAAAAACTAAGAATTTTCACGTGTCAAATACCAACACAAATGAAGTCAAATGACAAACTATGAAGAAGTTCTTATGACTTTTATAATAGACAACAGGGTGATCATACTATTGGGCTGTCGGAAAAGTCATGACATATTTTTTTAAGTTTTTCGTTGCAAAAATGCGTCATGACTTTTCCGACAACCCAATAATATAAAAAGAGATGCTAGAAATTAATGTGAGAGAAAGGCCAAAAACACAATTGAAAACTTGGTAAGACAGGTAAAAAGTTCACAGGAAAAGAAATACAAATGACTCTGAGACACATGGAAAGATGCTTGACTTCACCCTCAAGAAATGCACACAGACCACCCCAAAGTACATTTTTTCCTTGTTAGATTGACAAAAGTCCAGAAATTTGATACTGCATTATATTATTGAAATTATAGGGAAACAAATACTACTTTTGAGAGTGTAACTATCCTTATGGAGGATAATTTAGCAACATCTATCAAAGATAAATGTATAAGTCCTACTTGAAAATCCTGGCTTTGGGAATTTGTCTTATATAGATACTTGAATACATAAAATGATGTACACTCAAGGTTAGTTTCTGCAGCCTTGAATGGAAGCAACCTAAATGTCTAGTCCCTTAGAATGACTAAATGACACAGAAGAGTTGTACATATTTTGTAGGAAAAAGGTGAGGGGAGGGGGAACAAAAATGTTTATACTGGCATGAAGAGTTGGAGGATACATAAGCGCTACGTAGTAATTAAAGATGTGAACTGGGTAGATGGAAGACAAGAGTGGAAGCAAGACTTTTCACTGTATTTTCAGTTTTATTTTTGAAGTATATGCATGTATTT